TCTCTCTCTCTCTCTCTCTCTCTCTCTCTCTCTCTCTCTCTCTCTCTCTCTCGCTCTCTCTCTGTCTCTCTTGTAATAACAAAGACTCTCAGCCTGACGGTAAAGGCACTGTTACCCTCCACGAACTTTCGCATCTCCGAGAAACGAGCGACGCTCGAAAGCTTCGTCGGTCGTCGTGACAACGGTCGTCGTGGCAACGGTCGTCGTGGCGACGGTCGTCGTGGCGACGGTCGTCGTGGCGACGGTCGTCATGGTGACGGTCGGTGGGTACGAGCGTCGCTGGCTTCTTGGACAGGCGGCATATTTCTATATCCGCTCGTACGAGTCCTCTGTCTTGCATCCCTTCACCGCGAACAGCATGCCGTCCTGTGAGGAGAGAAATCACACGTATTACTTTATACACATTATACACACGCACGCACGCACGCACGCATGCACGCACGCACGCACGCACGCACGCACGCACACACACCCCACGACCGTCCAGATTACGAACCCTCCTGCTGGCAACGCCCGAAGTATCGCGGACCCGCGGACGACACTCACGCGAATGAGAGGCGGCAGCTCCACCCAGAACTCGTAGTTAGGGATGGCTTCCTTGCCTCGCGCACCGCGCGCGAAGTACAGGTAGAGGAATCCGGCGATGAAGTACACAAACAGCAGCACGAAGAATCTGAAAGCACCGAGAGAGAGAAAGAGAGAGGGAAGATCAGAACATGGTGTGAAATTAATGCGAGTCCGGAGTCAAATACTCCCCGATTTACTGTCGGACTCCCTGATTACCTCCGCCCAACAAAGTTGGAGGAGGTTATGTTTTCGCTCTCGTGTGTTTGTGTGTTCGTGTGTTCGTGTGTTCGCGCGATCGATATTAGCGTGTCGAGGCGTATGGCGTATGTCGTTGGCGGTCGATCGATATCACCCAGCGAGCCAGCGAGTCGGCAAGCCAGCGAGCACATGTCCATAACATGACACATGTCCATGACATGACATGACAACCATCCATGATGATAAAGATGATGATGATGATGATGATGATGATGATGATGATGATGATGATGATGATGATGATGATGATGATGATGATGATTTCCAAACGTGTACATGAGCAGCGTGTACATGTCAGTAGTTTGACATGTGTAGGAGTCCGTGAGACTCCCTGAAAATTCTGCTATACTAACTAGTTCGTTCCAGAGCATGGCCATGTGGAATAACCGAATTTCTTTAGGAAATGTCCCAAGAAAATTTGGCAGACGTGCACCGCAAATGTCCTTTTTGTTAATATCTTTAGTTTTGAACTTCAGACTGCGGACTCCCTCATTTTGCTGCGGACTCCCTCTTTTTGATGGTAGAGAGTCCGTTGGGTGACTCGCTTGTTCAACAGTTAATTTCTACCCCTGATAGAAGGATTCGCAGTTCTATATTACTGCACCCTCTCCCTTCCCTTCCTGATCGCTCACCTGCCTGTAACAATGTTCCTCCCCTACCTGATCGCTCACCTGCCTGTAACAATGTTCCTCCCCTTCTCGTTTTCGGATTACCCCCCCACGTCCCGAATATCGTGACCGTACGTCGAGCGGTTAAGATTTGTGCCCAACTGTTGACGGACGCACGGACGCACGGACGGACGGACGGACGCACGGACGCACGGACGATCATGCGATTCTACAAGCTGCATCTGACTATGTCAGATGAGCTAACAAGGAAAACACTACTGTGCTACTAGTATTTTGGTTTCAACTGTTTAACTTGTGTTATTTCGGGGTTTCGATGTTCCGATTGAATGGCTACCACAATTTGGTAAAATTGACAGCGTATGCATCAAACTAATGTTTAAATTCTAACAACAAAGCTTGAGTATACGGTGTAAAAAACAACGTTTCTTGATAAAAAGTCAAATAATATAAGGTGGTGGTTTTCTTTTAGATATGATATTGATAAGGTAACGACGTTTCTTGTTCAACTTGAACAGAACAGTTTTTTTAGAGGTAGTACTAGATTTGCCAAGAGATGGGTGTCAGGCCATGTATGTATGCGGTGAAGTAGCTCTAGTAACTATAGCCCGCGTACGGTTGCCGCTGGGCTATAGGACCAGCCATTAGGGATGCGCGGGACGAACTTACTTGCGACGACTCGCGCCTATAAAACGTCTGTGGTAGGCAATTAATGCCTCTTATCCGAAGTAAATATGTCTTAAGTTATATCAGCTACTAAAATTCAACCTCTAACTATCGTTGCAATGGTATACTTGCGGTATTTCTTGTGAACGAACATTCGATTTGCGAACTTCAAACGGCCTTTTTTGGCGACGCTGCAGCAGCGCCAGTCAGCGGAAACTATGTATTTCTGCACGTGGAGGGGTGGGCAGGTTGGGTTGGTTGTGGACAAAAACATTGGTGTTGTCAAGTAACAAATTAAGCGATCAAAAAATGATTGTAATATTAGCTTTGTCATGAAAGATGAACAAATTACTATTATTAATTTGTTACTTGACAACAACGTTTTTGTCCACGACCAACACAACCCGCCCACCCCTCCACGTGCGGAAATATATAGTTCCCGCTGACTGGCTGGAGTAAGTTGGTGCCGAGCATTCGTAATGGCTGGTCCTATAGCCCAGCGGCAGCTGTACGCAGGCTATAGTTACTAGAGTACTAGAGCTATAGTTACTATAGCTAGCGGTGAAGTCGTTAGCAGTCTCGTAAGGGTGACCCTAGATGCAATAATGTAACCTAACAGTCACAAGAGTAAGGCCTAGTTCTTGTAAGTTGTAGCAGTGAAAAAAATACACGGGGGCTCGGGGCGATTTAGCCCCCAAAATGCCAAAAAGAGCCCCGGAAATGCCAAAAAGAGCCCCGGAAATGCCAAAAAGAGCCCCCGTAAATTTGCATAGAGTTCAATGCAAACCAAATTTTAGAGTGCTATTTTCATGCACGCGAGCTTGAAAAGTATCACCTAGCTCCCGAAAAATACATTTTAATTTTTTCCCTGAGTTGTAGTATCTAGCTCCAGTGTAGCCAAAAGTTCCCTTCTCGCTTAACACTACGTGACTACGTTGGAGATATTCCTACGACGTGTAACAGTCGGAGAGCCTGGTCGGTTTAGGTCCAGTGTAATCATTGATGCAAGTTACACCATGAACATACACCGCACCGCTCTTGACCGCATCTAACCCGACCAGGCTGTGTGACTAACCGGTCTAACGTCTATAACAGTCTTAGACTTAACCCTAATTTATTTTCTGTTACTGACTCTACAGTACACTTTAGCCTACATATTTATAACGTCACGTCAGTTTTTACACGTAGACATACTTAATAGTAACTTCCTACTAGACAGAAATAAGATCAGTGTGGCTCGCTGTCTAGTTTGTTTACCCACGTGATATTTGACAAGTTCGTATCCCACTGAGACATGCCGACACATACTAAACAGCGAAATGTGTCGAAGGAAGCGGGCGCCGATGGCTGATCAACAAGGAAAATAATTCTTTTTGTACATTTACGGGTCAACCAGTCGCAATTTTCGACAGCAGTTATTAAAAATTAGATGTTTGGAGTGCACATTCAAATAAAATCACATCATTATTATAATATTCCACCATAACATCATATTCATGTTTATTTCATTGTTTATTCATTTTCATAACTGTTTGAATTATTGTTTAGATTCACGTGTAAACATGAGATCTGGGAGTGTAAATACGAAGTGTATATGTCTAGTGAGATTTTGTACATTATACTGCAGCACTATAGTGTAGGCCTACAAGTAGAAATATAACGTGACCAAAATTAATACATGAATACCGATTCATTCCAATGATTTCTAAAAATCGCTTGTTTATTTAGTTCCATGATTAGTACCACTTGTAGAATATAACCAAGCAAATTAGAAAACAAATTCAAAATGTTTTGCTTGAAACTTTTCGAATTTTATGAATAATTAATTCGTTGCCGAGCCTCACAGCAAAAAGCTCTTGCCTGTGATGTCACATGGGTGCTGAGACACGGGCCACACACAGGCTGCATGCCAATAGCGCACACTGTGATCTAATGCCCACACGTTCAGTACTATACAGACGCTTTAGAGGAAACTAACTCACTGTATTTATTTCAATCTCAACATTGCCCCGTATCAGTATGATCCACTGGCCAGAGACAGAGGAGTTGGCAATTCATCGATGGGGGTGGGGGTGGAAATATTATAAAGGTCAGAGTTTAGGGTTTTAGAGTTTAGCAAGAACCACACCTGCACGTTTCGATAGTGAATGATATCTCTGAGGTAGGGAGCTAAACCAGCTAGCTTTTTTGTATGTATATATAAACTATAGAGGCTATAGGTTACCATGCACCTATACTGATAAGTTATACAAACTATGACGTATATCGTGACGTTGCACTATTCAAGGCACATATCAGGGAAGCTCAATCAAGTAAAATAGTTCAGAAATATTTGCATTTTAACTACTTTGTAAAGCCTAGGACACACTAGCGATTCTGTACGCTGCCCGGCAGCGTATATGTTCGCTCACGAATTTAGAACGCCGTACGAGTGTGGACACACTGTACGGTGTCCAACACTTCCAACGGCTTTCGTTGCTACACTTGATTGGCTGCTAAAAACAATTGCGTTCGAACACGATGATTCATTGCTGGGCGCGCTGGCGCTAGCTGGTGCAAGCGCATGCAAGCGCATGCGCCGTACGCAAGCGATGGAAAACCGTGCGCGTAAATATTCAACATGCTGAATGCGAGCGATCAGCCGGGCGTATGGGATCGCGTGCGAAATACGCTGCCGTGAGACCGGACACACCGCGCGGACCCGGCACCGTATTTATCGATCGCAAGCGGCCAGCGTAGAAAATCGCACAGTGTGTCCTAGGCTTAAAGTGGAAAACAGAATGTAAAATAATTGTTTTCAGGAGTAAAGCACGTACCACTAACTGACCGCTCATGATTGGGAGAATAGATATATTATGGTATTTGGTAGATAGGAGCTGTTGAAATCAGTGAAATGTGTACATTAACAATAGTAATATAGTTATGATACCAACTAGCCATACCAGCTAGTTTATAAGCTCAAATAGTACATGAGAGAACTCATGTTGCACCATTTCCAGCTGTAGATGGCAGCAGTGTAGATGGACATGCAAGAAGGATTTTCTCCACAGTAGCTGGGCTATCAAATTGGAAGCTACCAGAAAGTCCGTCCTGCTCTCTTGCTGCTCTGACTGCATTTTTAATGGCAAAGAAAACTGTAGAGGCCAACAGCAATGGTGGTTCTCCAATTCCCTGCAGAGAAAATGGCCCAATTTATAACCCATAACATATTTACTCCCCAATAACCCTTGATTAATTGCTAAGGAAAAGGAACGGGCAGCTCAATATTGGGACTAATATGCTACACCCAAAACCATAAACATGAATAAATTCTACTGTTAAAGATTACCAAATAAACATATTTAAATGTCACTTTGAGTTAGAGGCTAACGACTGAAACCTCAATACATACACACGGCTTTTTCGAGTGGCAACTATACCATAGAGAAAATCTAGGTTCATGGTATGGACATATGCTCATCACTAATCCATGAACTAGTACAAACACCTGCTCCTCATAACTACCTTTGATGAATAGATGGCACAAGGGTTCTCAGAATTACGCAGTAGTGCAACGTTGAATTCCTCTGGTACATCGACGATGCCTATGCACGCAGAAAAAAACAACACTTGTACCAAACGTGTACAAAATATTGTAAAAAAACTGCTTCAAGTAATAGCTTTAGAAGTGTGCATATTTTTATGCCCCTCCCTCGATGCATATATTTAGCTTCGTCAAGGAAACCCTGTAATCAAGGCATAATATCAGGAATGTATAATATAGATATAATATACAACTAGATAGTCTATATTATACGCTCCTGAAAATATGGCTACCTGGTATTTTGTAGTTGCCAGCGTGACGAGTGGACAGGAAACCGTCTGCTGTGTATCGCAGCTCCTCTAGTGTCAGCAGTCCACAACCTTGCACAAAAGCGCCCTCTATCTGCCCTATGTCTATCATTGGATTCAGACTTTTTCCAACATCCATTACAATGTCCGTTCTCAGAACCTGCGCGATTGGAATAGAAATAAGATAAATAGAATATATACTTTTATAATTTTGAAGTATACAAATAAGTGCAGATGACACATTTATTCCATTTTTTAAACGGTGAAAATGCCTTCTCTCGTTGTCCGAGTACGTGCGTGTAAGACCTATATAACCGTGTGAGCGCTACAATACAGAGAGAGCCTACCACGTGATCTCCTGTGACACAGTCGATCTCCACTTGCGAGCAGGCTGCTCCGAATGTGTGGTAGTTGTAAGGGTTGCCGGTGTGAGTCTCAAAGTCGTATCCCTCTAGGCCGTCCGGGCGAAAAAACCCTGTCGTTGAGAGAGAGACCCGGTCGAGATAAGCCGCCTTCACCTGCAAAATAGACAACACGGTCATTCAGTCCCGCATCTAACCCCACACCTATACGCACACGTCACTCATATCAACTATACGTTATCAGGAGTGTGACCTATCTCTATATTATACACTCCTGAAGTTATGTGTAATTAACATAATATATTGGTAAGACAGTTGGCAGACTCACCCAGTCCTCCCACGTACCGCTTGGGTCTCGTTCCTTGAACGGATCTATTCGCTCTCTGAGGATCTGACAAGCATTCTAAACAGGAAGACACGTCTCGTAACGTAAATAGAATGCAGACAGTGATTTACGAGAGAAAAAGCAAACAGATACGATATAAATTGTAGTTCGGTTCGCACTAAATATAGATAGCTCAAACGCAGAGCTGTGTCGTGTGTAGGTAACAAACATATGCCGGTCAGCTTCACTGTTTAGGACTGCAGGTCTTGCAGGTGAGGGAAGAAGCTATATATGTACGTGTAAGTTCGACCACAGCTGCTAGGTAGCGGCGGTAATGAACCATCAATGATAAAAGGTTATGCATACAATATCGATGCAGCTCTGATATAAGATTGCAAGCAACGTCATCATACGTGGAATAAAGCACACACAAAGCAGGTACAAAAGCAGGTACAAAGCGGGCACAAAGCGGGCACAAAGCAGGTACAAAGCAGGTACAAAGAAGGTACAAAGAAGGTACAAAGAAGGTACAAAGCAGGTACAGAAGCAGACACCATATACAACTCACGAGAACTGCGCCGCCACAGTGGTCGCTGGTCATACTTCCTCCAGTCGACGTCGAATTCGGCACCTTATCGCTACTCGTCTCACTGACGTGGATCTTGTCTACAGAAACCTGAAGTGCTCGGCTAGCCACCTGTGAAGAAAGGCACATCACGCATATACTCCTACATATATTATACACGATGTATGTACATACAGATATTATATGATAGATATACTTAAACACCTGTCGTAGACATGATTACAGCACTTAACAAGTGTTCGCGGGAGAGATAGCGCGACTCATCGCAACTAAAAACGTACAGATTTGATATCAAACATAATAATTTACTATTTTTTAATCAAACTGATCACATATAAATATAATAGAATACCTGTATCATTTTCGTGAAGAGACCCTGGCCAATCTCACATCCTCCAAATGCAAGCAGAACTGATCCGTCCGTGTACACGTGCACCAGTGCACCGGCCTGCATCAAACACACATTGTTGTACCTGTTTAACTTGCTTAATCGCAATCTGACATAAGTTAAATGACATTTACTTCACAATCACACATTACATTCTCCCGTCAGCCAACTTTGCCCATTATAGCCTCGAACTCTTTTTCCAATTTCTCACTTGCGTGCCGCAGACTAACTTATTTTTATTAGTCTAAATCGTGCCTTGCTACAATTTTGTTCTTTCACAATGCTTACCTGGTTGAGAGACTTGAAGCAAATTGGGAATCCAAATATGCAAGGCTGTAATGAAATTCCTTGCTTTCTGAAACGATTTTTCCTGCAGAAACACAATATATCATCATCATCAGCACTGTCATCGTCAGTGACAATTTTGTTTTCATTATTATCATTACTGCTATTTTCTTTATCATTGTAACATGGTTGCAAACCTTCTCATTAAAGATGCACCTAGACTAGCTAGGAATAGGAGCAGCAGAATAGGTTCAAAATATTTTATATAATATGGACTATGATATTATCGCTCTTTCTCTCTCACTCCTCTACTCTATATACAAATAGATAGATAGATAGATAAATATATAGATAGATAGACAGATAGATTGATAGATAGATATATTCATAATTTGGAATAATAAGGCAGTTACTTGTTGAATTCGTTGACAGCAGCTAACTGGTGCTCATAGTGGCTCATCTGCCTGCACTCCTCAATGCATATATGCAGTCCATCGCTCTCAATGAGGGAGTTAAACGTTGAGACGTCACCTTGCCGACGAAGATTGCTCTGAATTACCTGCATTAGAAACACACACACTCTCACACCTGAGAACATAACCTGGACATGGAGAAATTACTTTCAAATTAGAGTATACTTGCCTGCATCTTAGCAGTGTGCCAAATCAATAAATAACAATGAGTCAAAATTAGAGAGAAGAATAAAAGTAAATAGAATTTTGGTATACAAATTAGAGGAAAATGAGAGAACATAGGAACATTGTGTTGTGTACTTGATCACAAAACACAGCATGAAGTTACACAGTCATGTTGAATGAATGTGTGATGGGGTTTAGCCTTCACCTGCAAATATGGCAGCTCCAATTTCTCTGCTATCGCACTCAATATCCAGTTGATCAACATTTGGCCTTGAGGTTGTCCAAACCCTCTAAATGCCGTATTTGATGGTAAGTTTGTCTTGCAGCAGATTCCCTCAATGTGAAGATTTGGCAGCCTAAAGCAACCATCAGTAGCAAGAAACACAGCCCATAACTCCTGTGTGGAAAATAACAAGTATGAAGATTATTATTGCAATGCCCATTGGTACTATTAAAATCATGAACATGTGTGCAGACAGAGAACGAATGTTCTATACATATGTCCATGTTACTGCGTGATATAATCATTCCCATTTCTACCACTCTCTTTCTACCTTTCTAATCCCCTCCCACTCCCCTAGTATCCTCGAGTACCTCTACTATCTCTCCCCCCCAATACATCCTCCCACCTCTCCATTTATTGCCTACACACCATCACTTCTACTCCCTCCCTAATGGTAAAAGTAACAGGTAACTGGTAATGGTCAGTAAGATATACTTACAAAGTCTGATAGTGACAAAGCGCGGCCAGCATCCAAGTAGATTTTGCATTGTAAGGCAACTATCTTTCCATCAGCATTGCACCCCACCTTTAACACAATATTCGGAACAGTAAAGTAGAACATTCATCGGTACATTAGAGTCCCTTTATACAGAAACACTGTCAATATAAAGGAACACTAGGGCACATTATTGCAAGAGAACATGTGAATTCCAGTGAGAGCTTGTGTACATTTTCTCTGTCAAACTTATTCTATCTATACTTTCATCCACCTTGCCATCATTACTTGCGAACCTTATAGTTAGCTAACATTGGGAGTCTTGCACCAGTTATGCTCAGATCTTCCTCCCTGGTGTGTATCAGTCTAACTGGCTTCCCAGTCCTTCAAGAAAATGACGATAATTACTTTAATGACAATTAATAATTTAATTAATTACTTTAATGACAATAATGACGATAATTGACGAAGTGAACACAATAGTCAAGAAGAAATACATTATACTTTACATGTAACAAAACACAATAGCATCGTTGATGCCTTCTTTATCATATCCACTGGTACATTGGAATATTAGTAGGATTTATATATGAACTTACTTGTAAGCAGCTACAGCAGCAGGGATGGCAGCATACGAACACTGAACTTCCTTCCCTCCAAATGCACCTCCTGTGGAAGTGCAGCAAACAAAGCAGTGTTAACACATGCTATTTTTTTATGCATGTAATAGTTAGTGTCATACGCTCAAGTCAGCCGCAACTACTCTATGTACATTTAGTATTCAACCAACCGACTCGTTTTTGGTGACAGACAATCCTGTTAGCTGGAATTGCCAGTGTAGCAGCTATCCAATTCTGAAACGAAAAATGTTTTGCATGACAAAATATTTCACGTGTCTTTAACCTGTTTGGCTCATCAACTGATAGCCAAACGAGGAACAAAGGCAGAGATGACTGCGTAGGCGATCACCTTACCTGTACATTCGTATTGGATTGAGTTGAAATGTACACGTTCATCTCTTGTTTCTCGCCCGGCACGCAGATGCACGACTGAGGTTCCAGGTAGAAATGCTGCTGCCCGCCCATCCGCAACGTTCCCTCCAGCACAGCGTCCGCTGCTTTGAAGCCGGCAGCGACGTCGCCATGCGTCTTGATTTTACTCTCGCCGTAGAAGGAGTTGTTGGCAATCGCTTCCTGTAAGGACCCAACAATAGCAAAGCTAACACCCTAATAGCATACAGAGAAGCAGATAGGTTCTGTTTGCGACGCACTATGGTGTCTAGACTTTACATGTGCAATGATTAGCGATGGAATCGTCGATGTGATAAATTGGGCAGTTCTTACACAAGACAAGATGCTTCTCATACCTCTATGGTGAAAATGGCAGGCAGGTCTTCGTACTCTACTGTGACAGTAGCTGCTGCCTCACGCGCTGTCTCTCTACTCTCAGCAACCACACAGCCAATAATGTGCCCGTGACTCTCCACCTAAAATACACCAGAAGTCTGAATACGCTGCACAACAGCTCGCTTCTAAGCCACTGATTTATGTTCAATACTGAAGACAACGTGGATCCCAAAATATTCGTATACTCAATATTCCATCAATCCCCAAAAAAAACATCGTTTCAAGGCTACCACACTGAAAAAATTCAAAAAATACCTCATCAACGGCGAAGACCGCTTCATTGTCGGTGACCGGTCCGACATATTTTTTGCCGGGGATGTCTCGATGATCCACAAAACACACGACGCCGGATGTAGCAAGAGCGGTCTGAGTGTCGATGGACACGACCCTCGCATGCGCCCTAGTGCTGGTGACCAATCCCGCAAACAGTTCCCCTGGAAGCGTGGAGAATAGTCGCGGCGAAAGTCACAACCGAAAACATACATCGTCGTGTCACGCAAGCAAATAATACCCCAAGCTCTGCTTACAAAGATCTCACTGCAGGTATGCGGGAACCTAGTAATCAACAATAGGTCTACGTTTGCAAAGATTCAGAAGTACACTTTCGCGATCAGTAAGAACGAGAACGAAAAATAATCACAAAGCAAAAACGTTTACCTCGTACCGAAAAATCGAAACACGCTTAACACGTTGGCCAACACTGATTTCAAGAGACCGATACCGAATATGCATTTTCACCTCTCAGAGGAGGAATGTCGTCACAGTATAGCGCTTCTCCCGTTGCGTGCTCCAGTGCTGACATATGAACCAAGGGTCTACCTATAGGATCATCTGCAGGCTGGTTGCTGTCCACCACCTGCTCGTTAGTAAAGAATACACCTGTTACACCATGTGACAACACCTTAACCCTAACTTATTGATTAATAATTGTCAGTGAAACTCTTCATGTTAAGTGATTCTTGTTCACACCTCATATACTTGAGAGCCTTTTGGTAAGCCTCTCTCGATTTTGCCTGCAGACCTGGCACTCTGTATTGGTGCTTGTACCTGGAGATAGGTAGAGATAAAATGTACGAAATGACCGAAAAATGTACAATATGGGGTAGTAACCCAAGGCTGATGGCCAAGACACACACATGCGCACATACACGCACATGCATGCGCATGCATGCGCGCACGCAAGCACGCACGCACGCACGCACGCACGCACGCACACACACACACACACACACACGCGCACACATACACACAGCACATATTACGTCATATATATTCAATATTTATACACAGTATAGTCCCAGAGCAGTTTCCCGCTTTTACCGTTGGCCACTTGTAACGTACGTACACATACCGTGGCCAATTTAACCGTACATAACGTGAGAGCTAGCACGCCAAGTGCTCGGCACCTGCATGTGTGACGTGAGATCAACGCTTACCACCGGCGTCTGCACTTCGTTGAGAACTCTCATGTAGAACATGAAGAATAGGCCTGTGATGAGTCTCTGCTTGTACTCCAGCATGGCACCGACCTGGTTGTCAACCCAGGTGACAACTAGCTCCTGATTGAGACACTCACAGGCTACAGACAGCATGTCCTCATCCCAGCGTCTGTGAAAAACCGGAAAACTATAAGGAAGGACACTGAGGAATGCTATCAGAGTGTGAAAGGACAAACAGTTCATGTGGAGTGAGAGAGATATTCGGACAAAGCATTGCTCTAACCGATATAAACAGTTCAAGATACCTTCCTATAAGATGCTTCGAAGTTTCTTTAGCAATGACCATTGACGGGGCAACACCTCCATAGCACAATATAATGTTTTTGATCACTCCTTCGTCGAACTCTACTTTGAAGCCACATGTGACAGCAGCAATGTCACAGTCTCGACGTCTTGCCTGTTTGTACGTGTGCATGTATTGATCCTGTTAGCACAAAGAAAATCACGTTTTATAAACAGTTAATACTTGGAGTTTGAGATACTAACCAATTAATATAAACTCCTATATTGTAAACAAAAAACTAATTATTTTAAAAAAAATATAAAATTTCATACATAAACTGACACAAATTTTCACTACATGCTGGTGAAAGAACCTCTTACTTCAATTGTGATGTGTTAAAGGAAGATTTTACATATGAAAAATTTACTTGAAAGACACGTTTAATGACTTATGTGTAACAAGACATCTCATTTTATAAAACCGCTTACCTTCTTGCTGAACGGAATGTGCAGTGACAGAATGAGTTCATTGTGCTCCAGTATAGATTTCCCCGTCTCTAAGTAAAAGCTTTCGTCTATCGGCAGTATTCTACGGTGGCCTGCACAACAGTACCAGCAAATATAAAAACCCAAATATTGAAGCATCTAACATGCCAAGCCTTCACACACAACATATACCACCCACATAAGGGAAGTGCTTATGCAATATGCAATCCCATTCACCACCCAAGCATGCACCCCCAAGCTATACAATGTTAGCATTAATTTTTATCACTAATATGGGGGAAAATAACGTTACACGTAATAGCAATTAACGTAGAGTGACATTATACAATCCCTCTCATATGTACATCCTGATTGCAAGTATGTACTAGCTGTTAGCTACTCACCATCTGTTGAGAAAACGGTGACAGAGCAGCCTATAACGTGCAACACAGGTGCAATGTCGGATGTAGAGGATGCAAAGGCTATGGCACCTCCCAGCCTCTATAGAGAACAAAATTACATGTAAATATGAAGTCGCTATGCATGTTGAATGACCCTGCAACTAGCACCTCTATGGACGAGCAAGCTGAAAGAACACTTAAGCAAAAAGGGTGAGTACAAAAGGAGACATAGTACTTCTTATGATAGGAATCACTCTAACATCACTCTACAAAAGATCAACTGATCCTAATTTTGATTATATAGATAACTTATCCATTTAAAACATCTATTGGCACAGTTTTTTTGTAATTGATTGCATGCCCTTATAAGGTAATTCCCAACCTTGGCACATATAGCACATTGATTTGACTTACAGCAACATTCCTGATCTGCTGGGATCCGTACCGCTGTAGTGTCTCTAACAATGCGTGAAACATGCGCATCTTTGACTCAGAGGGGTGCTCTGTGAAATACAAAACACAAAGTCTGGTTAGTTGATGAGGGTATATCCATGTAAAATTAACAGAACATAATAAAATAACATGCAAATAAAGTAACTAGTTATTCTTACATTCATCTTGTGTGAACTTCGAAAATTTGATTGCAACAGTGAATGATGGCATTATATTTTTTAGGATGAATACAACAGCATCTTAACAACTAGATATAATTGATCTTGACATTTTACAACACCTAACACTCATTATCACGTTCACTTTCTGCTCACCTGAGTGTTTCAGAATTGCAGTCCGACATAAGTTCTCAAAGTCATTGAAGGTCATACTCGCACCCACAGTCACACCAGCATCTGTCCACTCAATACTGGCAAGATCCTGCACATGTCCAATCGCGATTAGATGTGTGGGTGGTGTCGTCTGTGTTTTCATATCCAGTGCTGTCGGTGAAAAACAACTGATATCACTGGATATATCGTTTTGGTACCGAATACTTTTTCATATCAGAATCAGTTCTTTGGATTGCATGATAATGTTAAAAGAAACTTTATTTTAAGAAATACCCAAATATATTAATCTATTAACAACAGTTTTGATAGCTGGTCTACCTGTCTTTTTCATTCAAGCTGAATGAAGAGGATTGGGCCTTTCAACAGTCATCATGTCACCTGAATGTTATATAATGACAAATCCAAGGATTTTACAGAATATTCTAATACGGAAGCCATATCGTCACGTAGGAATTTTGTAGTAGTACCTATTTTCGTAAATCCTGAGACGAAGACTGCATGAGGGTGTTCAGCTTTAAGCTTCATGGCCTCGGCAAGGTTGGCTGGTCTGAACCAAGTTAACCGGCGACCGGTGAACTTCCGTGATCCGTTTAGTGTCTCACACTTGATCTAAATATACGGAAAACAATCAGTTTGTTTTGTAGTTTTTGTTCCTCGTCAGAATAACAGAAACAAACCGTATGAATAAATCTATTGAATAATTGAATACTAATTGAAGTACAAGTCTTGCCTACAGCAAGTGTGCTATTGGCTAGTAGTATTAATTAATGCTCAGGGGAAATACGACGTGACATGAAGAAATTTGACTCGAATGCACTCAGGTAAAATTAAATTACCTGCAGCTCTGCTGGGAAGGTGGGTTCCTGGGTGGGGTCAAAAGGTGAAAGGTCAGCATCGGACAGCGCAGATGGCGCTACCTGTAACACATACGTGATGTATTATAAGTAGTAATTTATAAACGTTACAAGTGAGAATATTACAATTTAACAACGACAAGTGTTTACTATGATACCCCGTATACTGTAGTTTACACCGGTATAATACTGCGCGCTGTCTTAGTACACACCAAACCCAACTAATCTCTCCTATTTACATTATTTCCTCTATCATCCACTTTACTTCGTACCTATAATCAAACTATCTAGGCAACTTACAGGAGTGTGATTAGAGCTAGCAGGTATACTAGCGCCACAGTCACCCTTGCAGCAGCCGCTCCCGCCGGGACACTGTCCTCTCATGCACGTCTGGAAGTCTTCAGTGAAGGTCTTGAATCCATCCATAATAGGTCTATAACCAGTGCATCTGCACAGGTTCCCTTAATAGAACAAAACCTGATTAATTGTGATACACATTTCACACTGAGATTTCTATTGTAGTATATATAAGAACAAGGTCAGGGGTTTAATTCAACATGATATTCCTTATCTGTAGGCTATACCTCTTTTTCACATTTTATAAACAAACAGAAAAGTTATCTTATAAATTATGTACACGTTAGAAACAAACAAAAGCAAAAGTTATATTGAAAAGTACATTATACATGTATTACAAGTAATTGGAATAAATGAGGGCATGTGGAGGTAGAATAAGTCACCTAAGTTTTTTAAAGCCAGCTCTCACGCAAGTAATTGGTATGTATTACTGAGAATAATTGGCAGATGACAGCTGCAGTACCTTGAAAGTTTCTGATCAAGGTTTTCCAGCTTGGTGTAGGATCATTTCTCAGAAGAGCATACATGGACATGACGAATCCAGGCGTGCAGAAACCACACTGAGTACCATGAGCTTTAGCCAATCGTTCCTGCATTCAGAAACGTTCCTGCGGTATTTCTACATATAATCAATTAGCTAAAATACGACAATTTGAGTCGACTCCTCCTCCTCCCCCTCCTCCTCCTCCTCCTCCCCCTACTCCATCACCTTCTCCCCTCCTCCTCCTCCCCCTCCTCC